TTTACTGATGCCAACAGCTGTAGTCTCTCATCAGTTTCATCCCTTATCTCAAGTTGCTTTGTCCCTTATCACCAGGGAACTCAGTCCTTGTTCCCCTGCTTCACTCAACATAGAGTAGCTACTCAGCAAGTATTTGTCCAGTGAAATCAGGCTGCTCTGTAACTGTTACAAAGCTTAGAAGGGGAGATGGAACACTAAGTTCTCTCCGAGTGATAAGGGAGCTGATGCAGTCTCTCCTAGGCATCAATTGTGGCTTGTAAAAGACACCTTTAAATTCTGTCCTCTGACTTGGCTGACCACTCCCTTCTGTGTGACTATATTCTCCCAGGTCCCATCCTTCCTCCCTAGAAATATTTACTAATTTTTCCTTTGCTACCAGATCCCAGGGAATGAACGGCCTCAAGGCTTGGAGCCCCTCCCTTCATCTAATATTCTTAGATGATGTTAGAGCTTATCTTACACCTTTAAGTATCACCCATGTGCTGGTGATTATCAAATAGGTAACTTTAACCCCAAAGTCACAGAACTCTGGATTCCTGCTTGATATTTGGATGTCTTACATGGATCTCAAACATACATCAAACGGAACCCTTAATTTGTATCACTCTTCTACTGGCCCCACACCGCTCCCTTCCTCAACACCAGTGTTGTCAGTTTCCAAGGGCCATCCCGACTCCTTCTGTTCCCTCACCACTCGTGTGTACCACATTGACAACTCCTGCCGATTTTCCCTCCTGAATAACTTTGATTTCACTCGTTTCTCTCCATCCCTATGGCCACAATCCACCAGGTTACCACTCTTTCTTATCTGAGCTTCTGCAGTGGCCTGCTCTGTGGTCCTCTTGCTTTCAGTCCCATTTTTCAGTCTCATTCAGACCATTCTCCATATAGAGCTAAAGGAACCTCTCCAGAAAATTGAAGCTGCACCATCTTTGTTGTTTAAAATCTTTCAATTTCTTTTTTTCAATTTTCAACTCTTTGTATTTGGAATAAAATCCAAATTCCTCACCCTATCCCAGAAAACCCTAACCAACTTATCACTTATCTATATTAAATTCATCTTCTTCTACTTGCTATACTTCATAAACCAGCGGCATCTTCCTCCTGTTTATTCCTCACATAAGCCAAGCTGCGTCGCTGTCTGTGTGGACCCCCTTCCCCAGATCCTCAGATGCCTGGATTCTTCACCTATGCCAGGTCTCTGCTGAAATATCACCTCCTTGTAATTATATATTCAGGAGAAACAGAATATATAATTACAAGAAAGGGTTTATCAGATTAATTTATACTAGCAAAGGCTAGATAATCCCATGATGGCTGTTTGCAGGCAAAAATGCCCCAGAAACAAACAGGTGCCCAGTCTAAGAAGTTGGAAGTCTCAGAACAAGAAGAACCAAGAATGCAGCCCCAGTCTAAGTTGAAGTCTCAGAAGCTTCCTATAGAGTTGTCTATGCAATTCTGCAGTGCAAGTCTGTGTTCAAAGGCTAAAGGAAGCTCCAAGAAGACAGGAGCACTGAGTGTCTTTTCCCTACAGGGCCCAGTGGAGTGTTTGGCATATACAAGGGCATTTGATAAATATATATGGGAATAAAGGTAGGGAGACAAATGAAGCAAAGGAAAGAGAGACGAAAAGGAAGGAAGGATGGAAGGGAGGGGAAGTGGGAGGGTAAGGAAGAAGGCTTTTCCCATCAGTGAGATCATAAATATAGATACTTGCTTACAGCAAGGGGGGGTGGGGAGGAGAGACAAGAAGAAAGCACTATAGATGTTTTTGTTCTTTTTGTCATTGTTGTTTAGGAATCTACCCTATATCAGATGCTTTATAAATTATTCCAGTTAATCAATGAGATTATTATTCCACTTTTATTAATGAGAAAATTAAAAGAAGCTCTGCAAAGTTAAGGAACTTGCCAAAGATCTCATAGCCAGTTCTGAATGAGAGGGGCCCATGTTTTCCCCACCACACCATGGAGGTCAGACATCTCCTGTGTCTAAGTGACTACTAAACAGCTGACCTTCTTCACAGCCTATGGGCTGAAAATCTTTTTTTTAAAAAAAATAATAATATTTAAATAATTTTAATTTAAATAATTTTTAATTTAAAATTTTTAATTTAAATTTTTTAATTTAATTAATAAATAATTTTTAAAAAAATAATCAATTATTTGAAAGAACCTGGTGAGGTCCGGCACATTGGGACTGAAGTAGAAAGTAGATTTGCTAAAGAGTTTTGATATGAAGTAGAGCGGCAATCCCACTCCACCAGATACCTAGGGAAGCTGAAATTAATTGGCAAGCTTTCATGAGGAAGGAAGGGTCAGTTTCCATGGTGTAAGCACAACAATACTCCAGGCAGTTCAGGTTCCTGAAAAGAGCTCCCTGGGTTTCATACAAGCAAAGAGCTCCCTGGGTTTCATACAAGCCTGTAAGTATTTTTACATTACCCCTCTCTTATTTACTATAGTAATACAGATCACTCACTTATTAGCCTCTGTATTACTTGGACTACTTTGCAAATTGAGACACATCTACCAGAAAGATAGGAATTCAAGTGCACTTAACCAAATTCACAAGGATTCATGTCACGGAGAGTTTGCCAGATTTCAATGACCAATGATAGGCTAGTGAATCACATACGTAAATTTGCAAGTAAGGTTTGTATTTTTGTTCTTTTAAAAACTTCTAATAGTTGTTTGTTTTTAACAAATAACTTTATTTAGCTATAATTCACATACCTAAAATTTGAATCCATTTAAAATGTACTATTCAGTGGTTTAAAACTATTTTAGAGTTGTGAAACCATTACCCACCACAATCTAATTTTAAAGTATTTCATCACCAAAAAGAAGTCCTGTGCTTACCAGCAGTCTTTCCTCCACCCACCCAGGTCCCAGCCCTAGGCAACTAATAATCTACATTTTGTCTCTGTAGATTTGCCTATTCTGGGCATTTCACTTAAATGGAAGTATCCAATCTTCTATGACTGGCTTTGTTCACTTGGCATGTTTCAAGATTCATCCATGAATCATGTCTCAGTACTTCCTTCCTTTTCATTATAAAATAATATTTCATTATGTGGATATTCCACATTTTATTTATCCATTCATCTGTTGATGGGTTTTTGGGATGTTTCCATTTTTCATCTGCCATGAATAATGATTCTATGAACATTTATGTATAAATTTTTATTTGCATGTTTTCATTCTTGTGGGTATATACCCCAATTTATACTTTCTTTTCTTAAAATTTTTTTTAGATGTTGATGGACCTTTTTTTTTTTATTCACTTACTTATGTGGGGCTGAGGATTGAACCTAGTACCTCACACATGCTAGGCGAGTGCTCAACCATTGAGCCACAACCCCAGCCCCAGAAAATTTATACTTTCTAATTTCAAAACTTACTATAGAGCTAAAATAACCAAGATTATGGTGGTACTAGCACAAGAATAGATATCTATAGCACTAGAGTAGAACTGAGAGTCTAGAAATAAATTCTGACATATATGCTTATTTTTTGACAAGTATACCCTATATAAACTCAAAATGGGTCTTGGGCCTAAATGTAAGGCTCAAATTGCAAAACTTTCAAAGGAAATTTAGAATAATAAATATTTGGGAGGTGAAGGAGCAACTTTATTTCTTTGCATGTGGATATCTCATTGTCTCAGCATAACCCACTTGAATCAAATGTATGAAATATGATATGTCAAGAGCTTTGTAATGTTTTGAACAACCAATAACAAAAAAAAAGAAAAAGAAAAAAAAAGATATTTCTTTACCCATTGGTTGGCCCTGGAGTGTTAACTGAAGTCAAGCAGTATGAATCTTCCAACTTCATTCTTTCTCAAGATTATTTTGATTATTCAGGGTTCCTTGCATTTCTGTAGAATCTTCTAGGATCAGTTTTTCAATTTCTCTGGAAAAAACGTTTTGCTGCACAATGAAAACTTTTACTTGAATTTCAACACATCCATAGGAAGTTGTGCAATCACTTCAGTATCAACTTAAATGTGGAACACACAGGGTAGGTTTAGTGTAAAATTGCTCAAAAGCTTGTATGGAAGGCAAGTGAAAAGGCTCCTAGACACTGATTGCGAAATGATTTTGCTTTTGGTGACACTTGCAGGTTAGAAACACTAGTGTTTTTGTTTACCATTTTTACTATTAATCAAATCCAGTGTTTTCTAGTAAAGCAAATTTAAAAACTAAAATGTAGTTTGTGCCATCTTCTCTGTTACCCAGCAAGGCATGGGTAGAGCACCTACATCCTATAACACACCTAACCCTTGCTTTGCACACTTAGAGATTCTGATTCACTTTGGGCTGAGGTAGAGGCATCTTTGTTTTTAAGAATCTACTGACAATTCTATGGAGCCTCTCAGTGGAGACCAACTGCTGCCTCCTTGCTTCCCCCTCAGGTCTCCAATAGTGTTCCCTGCCAATCTATCCCCTACTTTTCAGCCAGAGAGATATGGCTACTCAAAGATGAACTAGAACTGCTATGGGGACTTGTTATGAATGCAGACTCCCAGACCCCATCCCAGATACACTGTGTCAGAATCTGCAATTAAACAAGATTACTAAATAATTTGTATAGACTAGAGGCTGCTAAACTCAGGTCTAAAAGTTGAATCTGGCTCAAATCTATTTTGTAGGCCTATGGCTACCACCTAAGGTGTCAGGCCTCCATGGACGAGTGCTGTGAGGCCCCAAGAGCAAGTGCATGCTTCTCCCTTTATCCCTGCTGCCTGTTTTGCTCCTAGCACTTGCCTCTGCCACTTGTAGCTGTGCCTATTCACTGCTCAGGGCCCACTGGTGATGTTGGTAAAGGATTTCAAACACAGGCACAGCACATTGGAGGCCAAAGGCACATACTCCAAAATGCAAGTTGTTCCAGCATGGGGGAATTTGCTGTTGGCAGCTGCTGGGACCACAGTGGGATCTTAATAAGAGAGTTGGTGACTCTGAGCTGCTTTTTCTCCGGCCGGCTGCCAACATGGGATTGCCAACCTCTCCAGGAAGAGAGAGGGCTCACTGGAATCTGAGTAGCAATAAGGCAGAGAATGAAACTGAGCATCCCAGTGACAATGCCTTTCTGCTGAGGCCCATCCTCTCTGCCCTGTGAATGTCTTCAGCTGAGGGTTACTGGGAACAAAGACGATGGAACAACTATTGCAGGCAAATAGGAAAGGGTAGGACATGGATTTTTACTCTTGTTATTTAAGTTGCTTTTGAGTTCCCACTAGTAGTCTTGATTTTGTCTCTTGGTATAAAAATATTGCTGTCTGGATTTTTACAGAAAAAGGTTGCCGACCCTCAAGACAGGGACATTGTTGTTGGAACTGTTTACACTTCAGTGTAAGCAATCCTGGCCACCAATGTACTGTGTCTAGGTTGGGATCCTCCACAGTCAGTCGGCCAACTTGACTCCTATTTATCTTTCTGGGATGCAGCTTAGGTCTCTTTTAGAGAAAAATCCTTTTACTTCCCAGTCTTAGTGAATGGCTCTTTTTTTCTGTCTGTTGGATGCTTGGGGCATTGCATTTTTATTATGCTACTTCTCTGTCTCTCAGGCTTTAGGGCTATTCTCACTTTCCAAAGTGCATCAGACTTACCTGGAGGGCTTACCACAACTGTGGCTGGGCTCCACCCTAGAGCTTCAGGAGGTCTGAGGTTGAGTCCAAGAATTTGCACTTCTTCTAAATCTTTGGTGGTGGTGCTGCTGCTGCTACTAGTCACAATTTGTAGGGTGAACTCCAGACCCATCTCAAACCTTGAGATCAGAGGTATCTTCAATGGCCACAACTCCTGTGGCCCTCTCTGCATTCTTGTTGTATCTTTTTTTATATCACCAGTTCTCAAACTTATTATTTTTTTAATCTCAGAACTTCTTGACACTCTTAAAAATGATTGGGAACCCCAGAAAGCATTCATGTATGTGGATTACATCTATCAATATGTATGCTTTTAGAAGTTAAAACTAAGAATATCTTAAAATGTTAATTCATTTACAAAGCCTGCAATAAATCTATTACATAATAACATAAGTAATATTTTCATGAAAAAAAATATATTTTCCAGAATAACAAAAAATGTAAAAAGAGTGAGCTTGGTTTACTTTTTTTTTTTTTAACCTTTTAAAATCACCGGCTTACTAGAAGACAGCTAGATTCTTGGGTCAGTTTCTACATTCACTTTGTTCTGATGGAAGCGTATAAAGAAATCTGGCTTCCAACTGGTATAAAGTTAGAAAGAGAGAAGTATTTTATAGATCTCCAGATAATTGTGGATTTTCTCCTTTGATACTACACCCAAACTAGACAGATAGTAGTGCCCTACATTTTAGTTTCGATGTGGAATTGAAGTGATATCCAGGCAGTTTCCTTACTCTGATTTATTAAAGTCTTTTCCATCTTGAATGGATCTCTTTACTCGTGTCTGATTTTGCAACATCCTCCACTTGTTGTATGAAAAATATTGGTCCAGGGGGTGAAGGACATTTTCCAAATGTTGACATACTTTATTACACAATATCTTAAAACTGCATTTATTGAATTATATGATTAATGGTAAAGATCTAATAAACATAATTTTTATTGATTCCTTAAGAATGTTCCTATGAAACTGGTCTTTTTTTTTTTCCTGTGAGGGTGTGGTGAATAGCTTGATTATAGTCCAGTTTGCTGTCATAGCCTAACTTTGTATGAGGGTCCCAGCAGTTTTCTCTACCTTCTCTTTGGAACCATCAGAAAAATTGTCATCAAGGGGAACAAGGCCAAGAACATCTTAATATTATAATGAAATAGTTTTTCATTTCATAGTTTCCCTGAAAAAGTCTAAGGGATTCCAAAGAGTCTTAGACTACAACGTGAGAACTACTGTTTTAAGGCATAATATTAATATCAGTTTTTAGCTATGTTATTTGTCTGTTTGTGTGTTTTCCCCTCCCCACCTGCTGTGCAACAGTATTTAATTTCCACAGAGCTCTGGGCTCAGTGTACACCTTTCACATGGATTCTCATTGTCTCATAATCCTAGATGTTTATACCCATTCTACAGATGAGAAAGACACAGAATTATATAACAAACTTAAGGAACACTACTAGAATTTTGAAGTGGGAGTGGGAAATAGTGCTAGAAGGTGGTTTGAAGCCAGTCCGTGAGTGTAGACATAATTCAGTGTGCAGTGGGAGCCATCAGCAGTTTTGGGGGTAGGGGACTGGCATGCAGTAACCATAGTAGCTAAGATCCAAGGCCACACTCAGCTGAGACCACACGCCAGGCAAGCCTAGCAGCAAATGCATGAGGCAGGAAAGAAAATCCACAATGCAAAACTCTGTGGAGCACTTGTTAGGAATTAAGGGCTGTAATCAAATTTCCTAAATGATGTGTCTCTCCCACAGTTTCTGTCATGGAATTGACCAAAATATCCAACCTGACAAAGCTCCACCAAGCTGTGGCTCTGGGGGACTACAATTTAGTGAAGAGGATTTTGAAGAAAGGTCTTTGTGACCCAAACTACAAGGATGTGGACTGGAATGACCGGACCCCCCTTCACTGGGCTGCAATCAAAGGTGGATGGGCAATGCCTTAGTAGATCCACCCCTGTGAGCCCACCATTCAGTCTACAGGCTGTGTACAGAGTAGAAAAAAATATTTTTTCTGGAGCTAGATGGAGCATTTCAATCATCACCCCTTACCAGCATTAGCAAATTAAGTTTGTTATTTAGTGTCTCTGGGCCTCAGTTTATGCTTCTATATAATGGGGGCAGTAATGTTACAGTGGAGTTATAGGCGTTCAGTAAGATAGTGGGTATACAACACCTAGCATATAATCTGCTCTTAATTAATATTAGTCTTCTGCCATCTCCAAAACCACCTTCAGAGAGCACTTGCCACCTGCTGGCCACTGGGCTGTGCACTTTATCTTTGTAGCTTCACTTGTATTTCTCAAACATTCAGTGAGGTAAGTGACAATATTCTAACTGATAGACGAGGAAATGAAACCTCAGACATTTGTTTCTTATCCAAGGTGATACACCTTAGTAAGTGACATTGTGAGGATATGAACCCACATCTGTCTGGTGAGAAAGTCTATTTGCAAGCTGTTAGCTAAATGTAAGTGGGCTTTAAAATATTTGTTTTTGAAATGAGCATTGAAAAAGGAGCCTGGCCAGTAGTCTCGTGAGCAGGACCTGTCCACCTGGGACAGTGGACAGGAGAGGAGTGTCCTGGAAGGAGTACAGGATGTACTGTAAGAGCAGTACCGTGTGGGAGTGAGGACAGGGTGCTGATTCCCCAGTAAGAAGAAGGAGAAGGGATAGGAAGCTGGAGGCACCCCAGAGGCGCATTTCCTACCCCTGTCATGTTGTCGAGGCTGGCCCTAGTCTCAGGCCGCGGGGGACATATTCCTCTTAACCTCCTCCTGTTTCTTCTTGGTCCCTCTAAGGGCAAGTGGAAGTGATGCATCTCCTGATAGGCTGTGGAGCCAGGCCCTGCCTGGTAACTGATGTGGGCTGGACCCCCGCTCACTTTGCAGCTGAGTGCGGCCACCTGAATGTACTCAGAGCCCTGCATGCTCTGCATGTTGCCATCGATGCCCCCGATTTCTTTGGAGACACACCTAAGAGGATCGCACAGATCTATGGGCACAGAGCCTGTGTGGCCTTCCTGGAGGAGTAAGTTTCTTTTTTATTTTTATTTTATTTTTTTGCTTCCCAGCTAGAGGAAGGGCAAAGATACAGAAGCTTGTAATCAAGGTCTTTGCCCACTCAGTGGGCTCGGGTCAATGAAAAAGAAATGAGAAAATCCAGTCAACTGACTATTGTTTTCATTAATTTTTAAATTGAGTTATTTTCACAGAAATGACTGGTCTCAGGTAAAAAATACATCGATCTGTTGTTTTAGATGATACAAATATTGTCTCTGATCAGAGAATTGGGACACACTTTGAAGAAAGGCGATGATCCCAGATTCATGGGGCCCTGCGGCTTTCTAAAAGGTATTCAAGCTGTGTGACCTTGTACAGGTTGTCACCTTCCTGACCCTCCATTACCTAATATTTAAAATGAGGCAGATGAAGTAGAATTTGATTTTTTTCAGACCCTTCTACTTTTTCAAGCATCTATGTTCATCTGTGAATCCCCTACTAACACATATACCCAAATAAGAATTTATCTAACATTTTGTTCATTTTTTTTTACTCAGTCAAGACATTGAACATAGTTTAATACCAATTATGTACATAGCAGTAGAGCTCAGAGAGGGATGGAAATAAAATTTAGACATTTCTAGTTTTGTTGGATCAACAAGTAACTCATATAAGAAAAAGTTGAATAATAGTATCTGGGCATTATTTCTTGGAAATTAAGACAAGGTAGATATCAAATCTACTGGGCTGTGCATGATAGAAGAGGAGGGTGGCAGCGAGATGTCTCCTAAGAGCTGGCAAATATAGTTGTAAGAAAGTTAAACTAGGAAAGTCTTTTCCTATAGTGAGATTAGTAATGTGAAGAAGTAACCTAAGAGACTCCTAGGGGAAGTGAGGATTGAACACAGGGGCTTTTTACCACTGAGCTATATATCCTTAGTTTTTTGTTTGTTTGTTTGTTTTTAAGTGTGAGACAGGGTCCCACTCAGTTGCTGAGGGCCCTCACTAAGTTGCTCAGGCCAGCCTTACCTTGTGATCCTCCTGCCTCAGCTGGGATTATAGGCATGTACTACCAAATCCAGCTCAAAAGATCCTCTTTTAAAGATGGTGTTGCCCATTTAAAATATCCAAAGTCACAAATTAGGCAACTTGAAGAGCAGAGAGACAGAACCTGAATCTTTGTTTGAATATCTCTATCTTTTCCCCAGTTTTTTCCATTGCCCTTTTCCTCGGTAACTTCCATGTGAGACCACATCTCTCTTCGTATTATCAGTTCCTACAGCCTTAGGTCTTTGAATTGTCAAGACCTCTGTCATTCAACATTTTTCATTCCCAATCTATCATGTGCCTGAAAATGTCACCAATGTCATTCGGCTGCCAGGACAGTACTTCTACTTTCTTCTCATACACTCTTCATAACTTTCCCACCCCTTTTTCATTCATTCTGTACCATACAATCCAGAATTGCCAATCTTGGGGAAACTTCTGTGCTCTCTACTCCTAGGCTTGGTTGACTAGAGAAAAAAAAATGCCAGCAAGAAGTAAATGAGCATCATCAGAAAGATTTTTTCTCAGCTTGGCTCTCTCTTCCTGTCCTACTTCCTCACTGTCAATTCAAGTCCCCATTACACTCTCTCAGAGGGTATGTCTTCTTGAAACTTTGGGGTACATGTTTTCCAACCCCTGTATCTACATATATATGTATGTATACATCCACACACACATACATATATACACCTATGTACGTATATACACACATGTGTATATGTATGTATACACATGTATGTATACATACATGTGTGATGTATACATGTGTTTGTATGCATATATATACATATATATGTTGGTATGGAGTTGGAAAGAATATATGTGTCTATGGACATATTCTGTAGTGGGAGCTCTAGGTTTTGATTATTTGCTAAGATTTACAGGAGAAGGAAGAACCCTAACTTACATTTCTTTTAGCTGATTAGAATAATGTATCCCTTCAGATCTTACATATACTTACATCAGTTTCTTCTTGCCTCCCATTCCTTCTTTTGTAAAAAGGGTTACCCCTCCATGTAGATTCTTCACGTCTCTTCTACAAGGCTATTGCTCCTGTATTCTTTGTTGCATTTTTACTCTATCTCCTGCATTTTTTTATGTTCCTTCCTTTCATTTCTTTTTAGTCTGGGAACATGTTCAAATAGACCTTATTAAGCAAAAAGTAGAACCCCACTTCTGTTCCTTTTCTTCCCTACACTTCAAAGTTACTTGAAAATTAACTTACATAATTATCTCTACTTCCTCACCCAGACTTCCCCCTGCCCCATCTGTTTACGGAGTCAGCTCTGACCCAAGTTATCATGAAGTTCTTGTTTGCTAAGCCAATGGCTTATTCTTAGTTCACATCTTACCTCTACTTAATTCCCATTTATTATATTTCAGAAACTCTTCTCCCTTACTTAATATGATGCTACTTTCCTAGCTTCCCCTCCCCTTCTCTGATTATTTCTCATGATTTGCATATAATTTTTTCAAAAGAAAAATTAAATGGTTTATTCTTACATGCCTTTTAGATGCTGAAATTCCTCTGGGTCCTGCCTTTGGCTCTGCTGCACTGACATTCTCTGAGTAATCTCAGCCCCTCCTTAGTGGCCAAAAGGTGGATGAATATGACACATGGCCCAAGTATAACTGAGATGGAGGAGCAGTGGCTCCCCTCAAATAGTGGGGAGTGTTATTGCCAGGAAAACTGTGCAGGCAGAAACAACAACATCAAATACATGGTGTGTGAATCATCCTATTGCACTGAAAACTTCCCTCTGACAGAGAGACTAGAGACAGAATCCTGGGTTAAGAGGAAGTTAATTTGGATCTGGAAAGATAGCTAAGACCTGCAAATGGAGGAGGGAGAAAAATCTGTTGATTTGGAATGAAGCCACCAAGTTGGATTTGTGCATAGGTTGTGCGCATATGTGAAGAGGTAGAGGGACAGTGGCAGGATGAATGCCTGGCTAAGTAGAGTATCCATCTGAGGGAGATGTGGAGGATAAATGTGCATGGGTAGGTCAGTGGGTGGCCGTAGTCAGCCAGGCAAGTGATAAATGTGAACTCAGGGGATTGACAAGCAGAAAGAGATGCTTTAATAAAGTTGCTTATGCATTGGAGGAGGTGACAGTGGTGCTATGTAGGTAGACTTGGAGGCATTTAGACTCTAGGTGAGGAGACCACTTAAGGATTTCTTAGCAGTTCATGTTGTGAGTAGGTGAGCTCCTGGGCTAGGAGGATGCAGAAGAAGGATATAAGATATTTTTAAGATATTTGATAATTTTCTGAACATCCTAGGGATCATTGAGGAAAACTTTAACTTTTGATTCAGGCTCTCTAAGTAGCAAATCACTTATTCAACAGGTAGAGGTGAACCCTACTATATGTATGTCATTAAATTAGACACTAAAAAGGACATAAAGATAAATCAGACATAGGACTAGACATCAAGAAGTTTCCTTTCTGACCTGGTGTGATGGTGCACGCCTGAAATCACAGCAGTTTGGAAGGCTAAGGCAGGTAAGACCAAAAGTTCAAAGCCAGTTTCAGCAACTTAGTGAGGCCCTAAGCAACTCAGCGATCCTGTCTCTAAATAAAATATTAAAAAGCTCTGGGGATGTGTCTCAGTGGTAAAGTGCCCCTGGGTTCAATCCCTATACCAAAACAACAACAACAACAACAACAACAACAACAATAACAAATGTTCCTTTAGACTGGGAGAGAAAATAACTTGTTTGACAACTTATTTATATAAATAACACTGAAGAAGAGAAAGTGACAAGAGGAAGGATGCTAAATAGTCTGAAGATTAAAAGGTCACTTCCAGCTTGCTGGTGGTAGATTGAGGGATAGTGGGGGGTGGGTGGGGGGGGGGGGGGGGGACAGGAAGGTTCCCTGTGCTCTGACTTGAGAGTTTTTTTTTTTTTCCCCTCAGTACTAGGGATTGATCCCAGGGCCTCACATTGTTTAAATTTTAAATAATGAACATGCATTGCTTTAATAATTAGGAAAAATACAATTAACATCAAACAAAAAGAAAATAGCCTGTTCAGTAACAGGCCTCTTGCTGTGTAAGCACAATAAGATTTAGCAGTTCCTTCTTTCAGTTGTCTTTGAGTCTATGTATCATCAACATCTTACTCTGACACATCACTTTCCTCCACCTCCAAGTAGTTTCTTTGGCTTCTGAGACATCTCTAAGTGTGCACTTGGAACCGGGCAAACTAGGCCTCCTTCCAGGCTGTGTGTAGAGCAGGAAGAGAGAGCTTGGTCCCTGGCTCCCTGCCCCATGCTCAGGCCTGTCCGTCTTTGTCTAGGGCAGAGCCTGAGTGCAGGGACCATCGTAGAGCAGCTGAGCAGAACGGGCTGCACCTGGATGATCGGGACCCAGACTGGGATGCCAAGAAAAGGGAGCTGGAGCTGTCTCTTCCTTCCCCCAGCAAAAATACTAATAAAAAGAAGAAGAGAAGTGGAGGCCCAGCCAAGCTTAAATATACCAAGGAGCGGAAAGCGTGAGGGCTGAGCGTGAGGGCTGAGCCTGAGGGCTGGATCCTTGTCTGGCGCTGCCAATCTAGAGGTTGTCAGGCTTGTGTTGTCTTTACATAATTTTACTCCAGGACTCCGACCCTGGCTTCCACCAGAAGTTCATGACCATTTCAAATTTCATTCGGTTTGAGAATCTTGCCCAGGTGCTCTCAGCATGAGCGGTTGTCTCCTAAAACCTGCTGTCCACCAGACCAGGAGGGGACAAACTTTAGCAGGCCAGCTGCTTACACTTTTTTTTCTCACCACTAATTCGTACCACTCTCCCACCCCACACCCCATTATAGAATTTCAGGGATCAAAGAAAGAGTCCTGAGGAAACTTGATTTTTTCCAGGCAAAAAAGGAAAAAAAAAAAAAAAAAGAGAAAGTAAAAACAATACCCTAAAAAAAAAAAAAACCCTAACATTATCCTTTCAATCTATGAAAAAAAAATTGTATTTATTATCACATAGACTAAGCAATGATGTGAACAACTGTATTTCCCAGTTTCCAGCTTTTTATTTTTATTTTTTCTTTTGTGGGACCTGCAATGCCAGGCAAGTCATTTTTACCCATGATTATGTCCACATAGGAGGAACACTTTTGGCCACAGACTAGCTCAGTGAGAAATAACTGAAATTAGTTCATCCCTCATAACTAATAAAAGGTAATAATGTGAAATAATGGAATGTGATTGTGGATCCACTTTTTCTACTGTAAAATTTAGAAAGTTTAAATACAGATTACATTAGATATTTCCAATAAAAATATGGCATCCAATCTGAGATATAAAATACACATTGGATTTTAAAAACTTAGTACAAAACATGTACAATGTCTTATAATTTTTAATGCTTATTTGTTGCAATGATAATTTTTTGTCATTTAGGATGAAATAAAATTTGTAAAAATTAATTTTACCTTTTGCTTTTCTCTTTGGAAAACATGTGACTAATAGAATGTTTAAAATTACCTATATGGTTTGCATTTTACTTCTATTAGCATTTCTATAGAATTTAGAAAACATTTAAAGCTTCTATTACGAGACTGGTCTGGTATATTTTACCTTGATTTGCTACTCCACATTCTAGGTTTATTAATTTTTCTGCCTAACTCAGTGTCTTTAGCTGCCGGACATCAGCATTACACACTTTCCAATTCATGCTCCTGGTAATATAAGCCCTTTTTGGTTTGGATTTTCTAAAATTTTTTTTTTAAAAAAAAGCTTTAATGTCTAATAAGAAAGCCGTTTAGGTATCGAGGATAACTTTCCTACTTATCTTTACCCCTGAGCATCAATTCCCTTCTTCTCTGACTTGACAATCCCAGGATGCCCCCTGCTTGCCCTGTTTTTCCTGATTCTCAGCTCAGACGAAAATTGGAAAACACCGGACTCAAGCTGGACTAAGAAGGTTCTTCTCCTGGGAACTTGAAAAGAAGTTTTCATGAGAGGTTGGACCAGGAACAGACAACTTCAGAAAAATGAAGAGGCCCATCCTACAAGAGGGCTAAGGAAGTATAGAGAGGTGTTCTAGGAAGAGGAGGAGAGGACTAAGGCAAAAGATGGAGAGAGGTGGATAGTTTAGATAGATGATTGATAGATAGATTAACATCATTCTACATTCTACTTCTCGCTGCTTACTCAGAGCCTATTAAATGGTATTTTCATGATAAAATTTCTCTTTGCCTACAGTACATATTAAATCGATGTTTTTCTTTGCAAATAGACTTTTCCTAATAAGCATGCTATTTTAATATCATGGGCTCATGAGTCGAGCCCACTTAGGTTTGTATCCTAAACATAAGTGGAATGTCTCGTATGCTTTCCAGTTGCTGTGAGGATGAGATGCAGTGACATGTGTAAAATGCTGGCGTTGGCACTAACGGGCCCCATGCAATGAATGGCTAGGGTATTGTCACAGAAGGGAGCTCCCTTGAGAATCTCAAAGGTGTTCAGATATGTCATCCTTTATGAGTCCAGTGAAGCTTTCCATTGTCCCATTTTTTTTGCATGGTTAATAGCCTGACCTGCATTGGCTGAAGAGACATGGACCAAACTGTGAAAAAGCCTCCTTGGGTGGCCCTTATTGCAACCCTAACCTCAAGGCCTCTCAGAACTCTCCTTGTGTCCTCCTTTCATACTTATTGAATTGTTAGGAAACATGTTCTTCTCCCACAAATGTTCATACAGTAAATAAGAACAACAGGAAAAGGATGCTAAAATAGCTTGCCTATATCTATATTGGTGCAATGTCCACACTCTATGAGCACCTTGTGTGTATTTTATCCAATCTGCTTGACATACTTGCAAGACAGGTATCTTTATATCCAATTGACATCACTATCAGAAGTTCTGAGGGGTTATGACTTACCCAAAACCAAATGGGTTAGATATAGCACTAATCCTTCAGGCATTGGGAACTTGAACAGGTTGCTTAACTCTTCTAATTTCCTTGTCGGTAAGTTGGGAATAACACCAGTGCCTATACCACAGAGTTATTGGAAGGATTAAATAAGGCAATTCATTTCCAGTGTTCACTACCGAGAAAGGGGTCATTAAATAGTAGATGGGGTTATTTTTCTCAGTCTTTGGTGTCCCAGATATGTAACAACAATGATTGCTGGGGGTGGGGTTGTGGCTCTGCCATAGAGTACTTGCCTCGCAAGTGTGAGGCACTGGGTTCAGTCCTCAGCACCACCTAAAAATAAATAAACAAAAGAAAAGTATTATGTCCATCTACAACTAAAAACAAAAACAATGTTAATAAAAAGAATGACTGCTAAGTTGCATTGGCATTGTCCCAGAGGGAGGCAACATGGGCACAGGGATTTCTCTGTAGCCCATTAAAGTCCTAAATGAAGGTGCTCACCTGTTTTCCTGCCTCTGAGGTTGAGCCTTTAACTGAGGAACATCAAATCTGAAGTTATTTCACAATGACACAAGTTTATCCCTTGAAAGGTAAGTGGACTTTACACATCTACTCTCACTCTGCTACATATGGGTCCATTTCAGTGGGGTCGATTTGAGATTTGCAGCAGTTGGCGGGGGTGGTATTTGTGTTGTCTGTTCTCTCTCACCCTCACAAGTGGAGAGGAGTTAGCAGATTGCATCATGTAGAAAGTTGAGGCAACATCATGTTATGGGAAAGGCACTTTTCTTTCTTCTTCTTCTTTCTTCTTCTCCCCTTCCTCCTCCTCCTCCTCCTCCTCCTCCTCC